AGGGCGAAGATTCGGTATCGATATCGGGGAATTATGGATGGGAACACGTTGGTCAGGTGGCGCGAGAATTTTCATGAAAACGAATTGCCGTTGGCCGTATCACATAACGGATATGCGGCGGGTTAACCATCGGAACAACAACCTGTTCGATGACTGTTCCGTTTGATGATTGCAACAAGTGAGGCCCACACCGCCGTCCTCTTCCCCAACCTGTTCCCAAACCATTTTACCACCGACAGCCACTCCCCGTTTCGAATTCAACAAGTGGCCAAATCATTCTACGCGAGACTACGTAGCGTCGAAAAACTGGAATTTTCCGAGCGGCGCGGACAGTCATTGACCATTTAACGCCCCGTGTCCCGTGATATTTCTCTTTATCGAGAGATTTTGTCATCCGCCACCCGAAATTCCTCTCTTTCTCTTTCATTTTCGTTTGGTTGTCGCGCCGATATTGATGCTCAATGATGATGCGCCCGTAACTGTATCGGATTAATGATCTGATTGGAAAATGGAATTCCATCCTTTTCCCCCTCCCCGAAAGCTTCTCACGCTTTTTGCGCTTTTGATATATAAATAAATGTTTGTATCGAGTTTCAATCGAGTGTATAATACTGTCGGCAGAATTTCATTTTCTGGGAGGATAAAAATTATCGAAGGACCCGTTTCCGATTCGAACGATTTTAATTTTATTCAAACCGACAACAGTAGGAATAGGAATAAAATTTTCAATTTGAACGTGAAATAAAAAAATGTTACATCTATTTTAATATCAAATAATAGCAAAGTTGCAACGAAAGTTATTTATCTCTAAATGAAATCGATTCGAAAAAAGGTTTTTACACGCGATCGGATTATATATGTACATAGCTTCTCTTGATATCCCCACTCCACCACTTACGATTCAATTCGATCGACATCACCGCGGATTACGTATATAACAAGTATACAAGGAAACTCACGCATGTGTACACGTAACGTAATCATTACTGTCATCGGAAAGCCCGATCCTTTTCTCTCAGTAATTTCAACCGGTAGAGCGGCGTCGGTATATACGGGGCGGTTGAAGAACCCGTAGACACAGACCTCGTGCTACCTGGTGGAATGGGTCTCATTAAGAACGCCTTCATGGCCCTTCATCCTTGGCTCTTCAGGCCTCGCCTCGCCTCCTCTTCTCTCCTCTCCTCTCCTCTCCTCTCCTCTCCTCTCCTCTCCCTCTCAGCCCACGGAGTCGCTCCGTCTTTTATACCTGGATGCCCTCTCCTCTCGTTTCTGAGCCTCGGTTTCTGTGTTTGCGTGCGCCTTATGCGGTCGAAGGCCATTTGATGGTGGTTGCTTGTCATCTTCGACTTTAACCTCGTTACGATTTTACAGTCGTTTCTGGAACGAACGAACGAACGTATATACCGCTCGGTTTTCCTTTAAATTCGGATTTGTTAAGATTTATTTCGAATTTATTCCGCGGTTTCGCCAACCTGAGGTCCGTCGATGTACTCGTCGACCTCTCTTTCTCTCTCTCTGTTTCTTTTTTCTCTATTTCTCTTCCACGATTTCCGGCGTAACGAGATTTCTTCGACGTTGCCTGTACACCCTTTAACGAGTTTTTTTTCCCCCTCTCTCAGGTGTATTTCGTAAATAGAGTTCCATCGTTGCGGCAAGACTGTTATCGTATCGTCTGTTCGAATTGTGCGACTCGATAGAAATCTTGCTTGTTAACTCGCCCGGTCTTCTTATTCTCTTCTAGGGGGGACAAGAACAGCGTTTTTTTCAATGCTTGAACCTGGATGTCGATGTTACTTCTGAAGTGTATCGCCTCGAATGCCATGGAATCTATGATTAATCATACGAAATCTTGCGTTGTAAACGCAGAATAATCTTTGTAACGTAGGATTCATTAACGGTGATATTTTCCATGGTAAACGCATCCTTTGAAAATATTTTCTTAAGAAATCTTATTAAATAATGAAAAGTCAAAAAATTCTTTTACTTAAATTTTTTTCTATCGTATCTCGAGTTAATAGAAATAATTATACTTTAATATGCCTTTATTGATCATCGATCGATCAATAACGAAAAATAAGAATCTTTTCTGCAAATCGAAGCGAATCTTAACGCGTGCATGCCACGCGTAACAACCATAACTCCGTTCTAGCCGATCTATTTTTCGTTCTTTGTCGCGGCTGCTTTGTCGTGTATGCTAATCGAATTCTCTTCTCTTATTTTCCCCTTTTTTTCCCCCTCTCCCATCTCTTTTTGTTGCAGGGTGGCGGAGGAAGCGGCGGGGCTGCGGGAGGGCTGAAATTCACGGTGGCTGACACTTGCGAGAGGATCAAAGAGGAATTCAATTTCATCCAGCAACAGAACCACTCGTGAGTCTTTCTCTTTTCTTTTACTCGCCTCTACTCGTCTCTTCTCCCTCCCTCTTTGTTTTTCTTTCTCCTCCTCCTCCTCCTCCTCTCCAGTTTTCTCGTCTATTCATCCCTTCGCGTCTTCGCCGCGTTCGCGTTTCTCCAAGATCCACGATTATTGACGCCGATGCCTCCCCGCCTTTCCTCGCCTTTCCACCATCGCATCCCCTGTTTTCGAGGTCGCTTCGAGGAACCACCATCCATCCCTCGCTTCACGCTGTTGCACACCGTCTCTCTCTCTCTCTCTCTCTCTCTCTGTCTCTCGTCCGCTCTTCAATAACGCGTCCAACGCTTCCCACTCGATCGCGGCTCGCCTTCATTAGAGAATGGACGAATTATTTTTTTGTCAGCCGCATCCCTCCAAAAAAAAAAAATAATTCAATAATAAAAGATTTTTCTCGAGTACATATATATATATAGATGAGACGTGTCCACTAACGAGTCTCGAATTCTCTTACACGTAACGTAACAAGTATCGGGGGAAATATCCTCGAGCGGAAATTCCAACTTTCCCTTCACCCTCCCCCTCCAGCTTGGGAAAATCGCGGAATCGTTTGCGCGGCAAAGAATATCGGCGTGATGCGAACGATTTATGGTATAATTGATTATCGAGACACGGTAATTAATCGACGTTCCGCCAAGTAGTATCCAGATGCAGGCTGTGCCTATAACCGTTAACGTTATTGGAACACCGCTCACTTTCGTGCCGGAGGGGGAGGAGGGCGGCGGCGGCAGCGGCGGCGGCGCGGCGTGTAATGGGACCGTGTGTACAAATGTCTGCGTTTACGTATCATTAATTATCTAGCGTGGTGGCGCACTTGCGATACCGTTGAAACCGTCGGATGGACGGTTAAATTTGCGTTTCGTTGTTAACGCTCGGCTACTACGTGCCCGCGTACAAACCGCGGCTCGCCAACTCGCGAGTTTCCGCTCGAAACCGTTTTCGGTGGGACTGTTCCAGTTTCGACCAATTTCCCTCCGTCGTAATTCGCGTCTACGTTGGATCGGGGGAGGAACAGTTTCGTTAAAGAGATTTCTTAACAAATTATTGATTATTTTTTCTTTCCTTCTCTTTTTATGCATGCGTTCTTCTTCGAAGCAAAATGTGGAGGAACGATTTCTTACGGGGATCTTTATTATTCGTTCTTGATTTTAAGGAGGAAATTTGCACGGCGTTTTCTGAATAAATATTGAATTCTTCTTTTTTTTTTTTTTTTTTTTAATTGGTTAGTTCACTTCGAGCGATACTTGGAGTTTGTGTAATTCGATCATTTTAAAAATAAGTTAAATTTGCTGGGTTATTAGAAGGGATATAAGTGGTAACGCTTTCAGTTTAATCGCTCGTTGAGTAATCATTAGCAGTTAGAATTATTAACATTATCGTAACGAGGCTTAATTGTTGATACAAAATAAATAACGAGAAGCGTTTAGCTTGTATATGCTCTCTTATCAAAGTGTATGATATTTACAGTTATTGTATAAAATTACTTTTCATTAAACGCATCGTAAATATTAAAAAAAAATATATATATATATATATGCAGATACTGGTAAAAAACTAATCAAAGTTTTGCATTCCATTTAATATTCTTTTACGACATTTTACGATGCGAAAATATTACGACTTTTCCCTTTTTTCTTGAGAAAAAAATAGGATATCGCAAAGTGTGTTTAATTCGAGATAGTTTTCGCTGCAGGGTCGTAAGACGATCTTTCAAAAGTTGCGTTCTCGTATTGTGAATTACTCTGCTCTCATTCTAAATCGATATCAATTTTTTTACAACAGATTTTTAGCGTTTTATGAATTGTATAAATAATACAGGATATATGATTAGATTAAGTAATTAAATTCAATATTTTATTTAACTGATTCAAGATCAATAAATTATTGGATTAGTGCATGTGAAGCTAATTGAAGATATAAATCCATTACTATTTCTTCGTCTCATTGTTATGTTCTAATCGATTTATAAAAGAGATTTCAAACGTGGAAATTATTTTAAATTAATCTATATCTCGTACGCGCCAATGCATATTTATTAACAATAATTCCTTTCAAAATTATAATCTGATTAAACCGAACAATTACATAAAATTTCTTTTCTCTTCCTCGGAGAACAACTTCGAACAATTTCCACGCTTACATACATGAAGATAAATGATCGTGTCAAGTGATTGCAAACCCGAGGTTAAAATAATCCCTCGTTCTCCTCGCCAAATAACGAACGTAGAATAGATCCTATTTGCCAAAAATGTCCTCTCCTTTATTCATAGCCGCGTCTTTTCCTCGCGGATATTTTCAACCGTTGGGTCGGTCACCGCAACCGCTAACGCCGCTATAATCTCATTCCTCCTCCTTACTCCTTCGACTTTTTCGCCGTAGAACTCGATCTTACTTTCTTAGAGACAAGCCATGCGCCTCCTCCTCTTCCTTTCCTCCTCCTCCTCCTCCTTCTCCTTCGCCTCCACGAATTCAAGATGCTGCAAATCCCAAAGGGAAAGGCAACGTCTTGCCCTACGTGTTTGCACGTATCTGCTACGTGTGCGCAGGGGTGTCGTCTTCCAGGTCGAGTGGTGGATGATTCTACGTGTAAAAATACGGGCCAGGAAAGGAAAAATAATAATTCCATATCCGTTATTCGAGAAGATCGAGTTTTCAAAATTTGTCAAATAAACGGGAATTTTTTCGATGGAATAATTTATGGGATAAATAGTTTGTGGAACTATTGTTGGAATATTTGAAAAATCACCATTTGCACCACTTTGTAGTTTCATGTATATATATATGTATACATGTATATGTAGAGTAATCTGCTATTGATAATTCAGATTTGATTTGGATCCAATTGGATCGTTTCAAATTTAATCTTCTCGAAAGTGAAACAATTGTGATGATTTTTCGATTTGCACCGTTTCCTACCACTCGTTCTGAGACTAAGTGTATACTATACTTGTAGACTATTTATACACAGTATGTAGCACGCTTATAAAATATATATAGAATTTATAAAGAGACTCGAGTGCTCACCATTTCCGCTTTAACGCATGCCTGGACTCGTACCGATCGCTCATCATCGCTTTTCACTTTTCACAGACTGAAGATCGAATGCGAGAAGTTGGCCAGCGAGAAGACCGAGATGCAGAGGCATTACGTTATGGTAAGGCACTTTGTAAGTTCGTTTTCACGTCTTTTTAATCTTCTCACAACACGTTTTATATATATATATATATACATTGATTCGTTGAAAAGATCGCTTGCCTCGAATCGTTTTCCGACTGGCCATTTAATTTTCGTTCGAATTGCATTATATAATAATAATAATAATTTCAAGAGAACAACAAACAAAATCGATCGAATCTAGGGGAGAGAGAAGATTCTTTTTCGCGGCGAGGAAAAGATTTTGAATTAGTTGGACGACAACGAAATTTCGCAAATCTCGACAAAAATATTCTTCCACCCTTCGAGCGATGCACGTGCTCCTATTGTGAAATTATCGATAAGGGGCAAGGGTAATCGTAGCCACGGAATCGGGTTTTATAAGCAACGAGGTTACAGGGCCATTATTGAACTCGGTAATCTTTGTCGCGACCCTACTAAGCCGGGAGAAAAACGATCGATATTGTTCCCGCTTCATATTGCCGGCTCTTCGATTCAGTTCCCATCAGCACGGAGGCAATTAGCTCAGCCAACCGTACTAATCGTATCGTGATCGGTAAGGAGCTTAACTTGGACTTACCTATATTAAAGTGTGGCATTAACGGTGGGCCAAAGTATTTTGCCCACCGGAGTCCATTTCATTTCTCGCTTCTTTATCAAATATTTATCGGCAGACGGACCGATCCACGAATTCCTTTGTTATTGCTCTTTCCAGTATGTGCGGAGGAGGTGAGATGTTTTGAAAAAAAAGATATTTTTAAATGAATAAATTTTGAATAGGTGGTAGTGATTGGTATGTAATAGGAATTTTATGGAAATCTTTAAGTTTTGAGTTTAATTTTTAATAGCTAATTTTTATTAATATTTTTCCAACGAATTTTTGAATTTTACGTAGAGAAAAATTCATTTTCTTTCGCTATCGTGCGATTTTATAATATTATTTTAGGATAATTAGTCGATCGTATTTTTTTTTTTTTTTTTTTTCTGTTGAAAGAAAATTATCGCGAATTTTCTTCTCCGCGGTTTAATTCGATCGGTGATTAAGGAAAATTAACGCGAACAAAAAGTGTTCTAAACTAAACCTTTATCTTTTATCGGTGGTCAATGAAACCGATACTTTCGTTCTTACTTTCATTATTTCTCGTTCAACGAATTTTCATCTCGCCAATGTATCTCGGAAAGAAATAAGTCTCGTGAATTTTCGCCGAATCGAATCTATCATTGGGAAAATTAAACGAGGAAATATCTTTCCTCCTTGTTGCTTATTCCTCGAACCGTTTATTCCTTCTCTTGAATGCTAATGAGAGAGAATCCTTTAGAATTGATTAAAAGGTTATTTCGATACCAAGATAGAATACCGGCCAAAATTATAACAATCATTCGCAATTCAATTGTTTTCCTTATAATAGAAAAGAAAAGTAAATAGAAACATCGTCGAATCGAAATACCTTGGAATTGTACATTAAAATATTTATTTCAATTGATATATAAGAATTAACAAAAATTATCTCTTACAATTTTACTTTTGATCTTATCAATAGATATTTTACGACGAATACGTTATTTTTAAAATTTTCTTTCAATTCGCATAATTTTTTACAACTAACAGAAACAGGAGAAAAAGAGAGGAGAAACAAATAAAGAGTGGCAGACTATCTGAAATTTAGAAATAGACATTTTTGCAAGACTTTTCCCTTCCAATCAAATTTACATTTACCGTCTCGCTTCGTTTCTATTTCCGTAATTACCCGATTATACCCGAGTAAAATACCACCCCACACCATACTTCTATTTATCTCGAGCGTTAAGATGGCGTTTCCTTGCGAAAAGGCAATTTTCGCGTGTTTTGATAAGTCCTCGGGAAACTTACACCGGGAGGATAGGCTTGGTTGTTGTTCGAAAGAAAAAGAAATCGGGTCGCCCGCTTTATTCCCGTGTATATAAATTCACCGATATTCGAGAACCGTGCTTTTATTCTTCCCGTTATGCGGTTTCTCTAAACTGTTCTCTCCTTCTCTTTCTCTCTCCCGTTGCAGGGTCAACAACCCTGGCTATACAATCCACGTTTCTGCATTTATCTTCATCCTTCTCCTAAGGGGCAGGGGAAAGAAAAAAAAAAAGAAAAACCCACCGATATTGAGAAATTATTTTAAATCGGCGTACGAAAAACACCTCCCTCCAGCATTATCTCGCGATCGTTGATCGTTTCGCCAACACCTTCTTCCTCTCTCTTCCTCCCTTCTCTTTGCGCTTCTCTTTATTTCTCGAGCAACCCATTTTCACGAAAGAAAGAAAGAAAGAAAGAAAGAAAGAGCGAGAGGGCGGAAGAAAAATGCAAAATGAAAAAGGAGGGGAAGAAAAAAGAGAGAGAGAGGAAGAGAGAGATGAGAGAAACGAGGGGAAAAATGACAGGGGGAGGGAAGAGCGCGCGGCATGTGCAATGATCGATCCGAAAGCGCGGAGNGCGACACGACTTCCATCGCAATCCCTCATCCCCGGCTCGCGAGATCGTACGCCGATGTTAACTGTACGTTTGATCGTAATTGTCGCGAACTGTACCATCTCTGTAAACTGCTACACCGATGTGACACCGTGCAAGCAACCAAGCAGCAAGCTGGGCCGAGTGGTTGGGGGCTTTCG